CACTAGTCAATTCCAATCTCTTATCTTTCCCCTTGATCGATCTTACTTGTCAATGATTCTGAAACTTGTTTAGGCTCTGAATCTACATAATTATACATTTTAAGGCAATTATCAGATACATACACCTTGTAATCTGATACTAACAACTTAAATGAACTTAATAAACTAATATTCACTTTTTTCGTTCAGGGGTGTACCGATGCACTATAGGTGCATCGGTACCCAAAATAGCTTCGAAATATTGATGCATCGATGCACCCCTTACTGCATCGATGCACTTTCAAAATTTGTCTTGGTGCATCGGTGCACACTCATAGTGCCTCGATACATTCCTGGTATTCGATGTTTCTTCTTTAAAGAGTGCATCAATACACTTTGAATGTGTACCGATACACCTTGCCCAGAAACTACTCTTTAGGCACGATAATGTCTTGTTTTAACCTCAAATTCTACTTATTAATCCCTCCTTATACTTTAAAACTTATCTATACATATTTAAATTGTCTTATAATACTATAACACTTCACCATATCTCATAATTCACCATAATTCTTGAATCAAAGAATTTCATCAAATTTTTCATGTGTTCTAAATTCAATTTTATCACCTCTAACTTCTTAATTAACCCTTTGACAAGTCAAATCCATCTTTAGAACTTCAAAAACCTTTCTATAACAAAAGTTCATTTATACACCCTTCATATAATTTCCTTTTTAATTCTCTATTCTTGATGTTTAAAGCTTATATAATCATTCCTTAAGCTTATATAATACTCAAAGAATCAAATTTAACTTATAAATTCAAGAATTAAACAGCTGAAATTAAACTCACCTTTAATTGAGGCTTACGGGGAGAAGAAGAAACTGAAGAAGAAGACTCTGGATAAATTTCCTCATTTCCCACGTTTTTATATTCCTTAAAAAGAGAGAATAAAAATATTCTCTTAGAAAAGACCATAATACCCTTGTTACTTTCCAGCTTTACTATTAAATCCATGAACTTTTAACTTATTTCGAAATCAAGCACATAGTTTTCAAAATTTGTAATTTAGTCACTGACCCTGAATTTCAGGATGTTACATTGATACTTGTATCAATTATGTATTTTTTTTATTTAGTCGTTGATGAATTTCATTAGGTATTGACCTTAAATATTATGTTATAGTTGATTTGAATCATTTTGTTTCACTTGATATTATGGTATTTAACTTATATATGTTATGACTTGTGATATTTTTATACCTTTTAATATTGTGAACTTAAAAAGAGTGTTATATATATATATATATATATTAATATTGCTTTGAATATTATGTAAAATTTTAAAAAAAAATATTATTTTATATAAACTGGTTCAACCGTGATTTAACCACGGTTGAACCAGTACCTTCACCGGTTTAAGGTCCGGTCTGGTTTTAAAAACATTGATATATATATTTTTTTTATTTTTTTATTTTTTTTATTGTGGTTCTAAATTTCTCAATACTTATTATAAAATAATATGATGCATATAATAAAAACTAAAAAAAATACTCATTTCTATTTTATTTTGAGTATTTATTATGTATGTTCTTGATTCAAGTTTTAGTTTATATGTATTTTGTTATGTTTATTTTTTTTAGGATTACTTTTCATAAAAAATTTTATATATTATAATTTTTTATGTTTTCTATTAATTTTGTCAGATAATTTGATATAATGTTTCGTTGTACACTCATACATATAGCATGAATAAAAAAAATGTAGCAATTAACACATACTTACATGTATAAGTATGTTTTTATGTTTTCAAAGAAATAAAAAACATATATTAAGTTATTTGTGTATAATTGTTATTGAATATATATATATATATATATATATATATATATATATATATATATATATATATATATATATATATATATATAAATTAGAGAATATAAAATTTTATTTTCTATGAACTTATGTGTACATATTTTGATTTTAATAATAAGAATTTAACTTATTAAAAGAATATATCTCAAGGGTAATTTGATAAAATATACATTTTTCTTATCTTATATTCTATCAACCAAACAATATAATTTTTAAATAAATCAAACAATGCAATATAACATTTTCAATAATATTTTAAATAATATAATATTCTGATAATCTTACTCTCAATAACTAAACGAACTCTTATCCGAAATCTTATTGTCTAAAAGTCTCTTGTGAAGGCAGGCTGGCTGACCCTCTGTGGAAACTGGTCTGGTTTAAGCTTGTTCCTCAAAAGGTTTCGGCTTTTGTGTGGAAAACAGCTCTCCAAAGACTGTCGGTTATGTATGAGCTGCAGAAAAGAGGAATAAACTGTGTTGATCAGTTAAATTGTTTGTTTTGCAGTAGCGAGCTGGAAACAATCAACCACGTACTATGTCATTGTTCTGTATCATGGATTGTCTGGCAACATTGGTGTAACTTATGGAGAGTTAATCTGGTGTTCCCGAAGAATATTAATAAATTATTGGAGGCTTGGTTTTCCCAAAAAATTACTAGGCATTTTCGGAATATTTGGAGACTTGGATTTTTTGGTCTTGTGTGGGTAATTTGGATTTGCAGAAACCATTGTAGATTTAAGGGGGTATTCGTTTCGGCAGACCTTTTTCTTTAGAGTTTTATAGCAGATTGGGGTCTGGGCGAAATACTTATGGCCGTTGCTGGTCCCAGCAGTGAATGATTTCGTGAGCAACCCTGAAGCTTTCTTTCGAGGTGTATAGTCAAGTATTCTGTGATCTGGTTTTCTGGGTTACGTTGTTGTTCTGCTGCTTTTTCTTGATCTATTGTTTCTAGTTTGGCGTGTACTGTTTAGTGTGTGCCAATGTATATTTTTTCTGTTTGTTTTGCGTTTTGCCAATTTGTTCATGGCTGTTCCAAGTAGCACTGTGGTTCAGGATGTTGTTTGCGTCTGTTGCCATGCAAGACAGTTCTTTGTGTTAGTAGTTCTATGCTACTCGGTTGTATCCCATCCTGGGACATTCTTTTTCCTCCGAATAAGATTAGAGAGGTTTTTAACGAGGACATTAGAATGGGTAACTTTGTAATCTTTTTATACAAAGTTACCGTATTTTTTCAACAAAAAAAAAACTAAACGAACTCTTAAAATTAATGATGATTAAAAAGCATGGGGCTCAAATCAGAAGATAAGGGTAACGCGGAACTTCAAATAAAAGATTCCATTCCAACAAAATTTGGCAAAAGATTGAATAGGCACTGTGGTTTAACTGGCATTTTCTGGACACTTAATATTTGGACTTTCTTACAATTTACTGAGACATGACATCCCATAGTGTCTTCAACATGTACAGAATCAAACCTTGCTTTCCCTTGTTTGAGGCGACACTTACCCCACACTTCAACTTATCTCATGCATATTGCTATAAATTGATTTAAATTTTAATTAATAATTTTATTTTTATTATAATTTGAATGATCTAAAAATTAATTGTTTAATAACTTTTTGAAGTAAAAATTGTTATAAAGAAGGATTTTGGTGTAAAATTATTTTAGAGAAATCTATTTTCTTTTGATAATTGTACTTTCGGTCCTGGCTTTTCATTTTTATATATCTGTAATGGGACAGTGCCATTCATTCTCTTCACGTAGGATGATTGTGTATCTAGTCATCGTGGACCATCCCCCATTTGGCTTATTCGAGATTTGTGTTCATTAATCCCCTTGAAGATCTCCAATTTTCAAAGGTAACGTCCCTTTCTTGTCACATGCCAGTGTGATAATAATCATTATCGGTACATGTACTTAACAAAAATATCCAATGTGGTATTTATATTTATAAATTACTTGTATTTTGCTAAAAAAAACATATAATGGGATATATGTATTTTTAAAGTCTCCAATATGATACTTGTACTTTGACAAAAATATTTTAATATATTCCAAATTAACAAAGAAAATGATTAATTTCCGAAACTAATTTGTTAACATAAAAAGGTTTTTAATATATTTGAAACGAGTCATGGATTAATTACGATAAAATTATGATGAAAAACGACTTCTTGAAAAATCTAGGGGAGGGAGGTACTTGGAGTCCCCGTTGCGTACTCTCGCTTGAATTTTTCATTTTTTTTTATAGATCTATCATGTGAAAGTGCCAAATGATCGTGCATCGATCTACTCATATCAGAGCTATTTGGTTTATTCTAGATTAGTCTCCATTAAGCCCTACAATAAAGGATTTCCACTCTCCCATGGCAATTCTGCTTTCAATGACATATACTAGTGAAATTGCTAGATTATAACATGACTTTGTTTAAAATGTCCACGTCGAATTTTATAAAAGATAAAATCAAATTCAAATTTAAGATAAATTTTTTTAACAAATAATTATTATAATATTTCTCTTTATGTAAATATTATCAAATAAAAAATATTTATGTCAAATTGAATCATTAGAGACCAGTTTTACGCTCTAAAATAGGATTGAGTATAGGACAAATGAAATCTTTCCTCTTTCTTCTACATTGAAACTCAAATCTAATATTGAATTGAAAAAAAAAGTATATTATTCGGTTTAAACGTGAGGGAAAAAAAGTATATTCTTCTACCTTGTTAAGAGTATTCTTTTCCTCTAACTAAGTTTAAGTGAGAGATTTTTAACGAGAATCTTAATGTAGGTTTGTTTAATTAATAAAATCCATCTTGCCGAGAAAAAAAAAGTGAGGGACAAAGTTTTGGTTGTTTACATGATGTCGGATGTCAATTTTTTTCTCGACGCTTTTCTATAGCGTTTATGTCAGTGAAAACTTAAAAATGTGTCGCTTTTGTCCCTCCTTACTGCGGTGAGGAAACAAAAAAGGTTTATGAGGCCAGTTGACAAAAGACACTAATTTTACCCGTCATCGGTTATTCACCTAGGATTTTATATGCCCTTACCGTTTCAAAGACGAGAGGTCGATCATTGAATCTAACCATTTCCCTCTTATAAGATAATTAATTGTTTTTACAGTATTGTCGATAAATTCATTTGTTAAAATATAGTTATTATATTTATTTTTAACGATTTAAACAATATTTATTCATACAAAAGATCTTCAAGAGTTGTACAACCAATACGGCATTAACAAGTAATGATAACAAGCAAGATGTGTAATTATTGGCTAGTTGCCAATGATTAGGACAATAGACCCCATACAGCTTATGCCAACGTTGGAATTGCGGCCGCCGCCTTTTGGTTCTGTTTGTGCTCTTCTTCATCCATGGTGTCACATATTGTGCCGCCTTTCGTCTCCGGCAACCCTATCAACGGTAGCCCACAAATCCCGATCGCCAACCCGAAAACCCCAAAAGATATCAAGTTATTTTCCCTCCCAGCGGCCACAAGCAGCGGGCTGAATACTCCCCCAAGAACAAGCGCTTGCCTCACCATCGAGAGTGCCGAGTTCCTCACGCATGTGGGGAACAGCTCTAACGTGTAAATCATCGTCATGTTGTACGCCGCGCAAGCGCTGAAGAAAGATATCAGCTCCATTGCTATCTGTAAACTTGGCCACACTCTGCTCATCACCACGCACAACACACTGCACACACCGCTTAAGATTGTGAAACCCAACAATGACTCTTTCCTGCTAATTTTACCTATAAGGAAGAATGTAATCAGTGATGCTGGGAGCTCGGATAAGGCGTTTAATGTGACGCCTAAATAGAGATTGACTGATAGATTTCCAAGGCCTAATGGCATCCCATAGTACACCATACCGATCCCGAAACCCGTAACCATTACGCCCGTTAGCCTTTGAGCAGCCCATCGCTTGTTCAATAGTATCCTGATTGAAGAGTAAATATCTACATTATCGTCGTCCCAAGAGTCTTGCTCGATTAGGACATTTGAGAAACTCAGTGTCAAGGCACTAGCAGTCTGAGCCAAGCCTTTGAGTGTTGTAACTGCTTCCTCTTTGCGTCCTTTGACGAAAAGCCATCTTGGAGACTCGGGAATTAAGAAATGAACTAATATACAGTACAAAATTATTGGCACCGAAATCCAGAGGTACAGAGTTCTCCATGACGAACCTCTATTTACATATGCCATTGCTGGTAATGACAGGAACCCTAAAGTGAAACAGAAGAAACCGATAACACCGACCTGGCCGCGCCACCGTTTTCCGACTAGCTCGGTTGATAACACCAGGGCACATGTTCCGACAGTTGCGCGGCCAAATCCGTTGAAGAATCTCAGGGCTGAATAGATCCAAATATTGGATGAAAAAACGGTGAAGATGGAAGATAAAGACATCATTAGACATGAGAATAAAAGCATGTTTTTACGGCCGAGAGTTGAGTCAGCGAGCGTGGCGAGCACGAGTCCACCTACTAGGCAGCCCATGAAGAAAGAAGAAGCAGGCAACCCAGTGATGAACGAGGTGGAACACTCGTGGCCCCATTCCGATATAATCGACGTGTGCGCAGGCCAATCCCAAGACCATGAACCCTTGGGGAGTTGACAAATGCTGGAAAAACTGTTGCAAACCGATTCATCGGTGCAGTGCCACGACGGTTCAGCATCGGTGAATACACTGATGAAAGTTTGCTGAGCGTCAAAGACCCAAGCAAATGAAACGAGTATTGCTTGAAAGATTTGGAGCCACCCGAAGCCTCCAATGCAGCGCTCGATGGTTTCATCGAGGGATCGTGGAGGCCGTTTGGGTTCCGGCGGCTTGTCGGAGTCGGAAAGAAGCGGTGTTGAATCAGCCATACACCGTTCTATGTAAGGAAGCAAAGAGAAGGTTTTTTTTTTTGTGAGTAGCTTTGGTATGATCCTTAGTTGATATTTTGTGAATTTAAATAGAGGCGTACGGGACTGACGATTTAATAAAATACAAAATGACAGCCAAGACATGGGGGCGGAGGACTGTATTACACGTAAAACCACGTCAGCTTATGTGTAGATTAGGGTGCCTCTTTGTCCTTAATACAATAATTATCGTTTATATTTTGAGACACTTCCTCTTTTTTAAGCTATACATTTTACCAATATTGACCATCAAAATCAATCTTTATAAATGATCGAATTAATCTTAAATTTGATGTGATTTTAATCAAAACTAATTTAAACATAATTTTCTATAAAACATTTATACAAAACAAAATTTAAGCTTAAATATATTATAGAAATTTAAATCTTATCATTAGATTAGTATCTCGCTGACCACAATTACAATAATATACGCATGTAAATGTTAAAATAATTATTTAAATATAATTTATCCGTTAAATAGTTTAACCGTTTCAGACTGTAGTTTTTTATAGGAAAAATATACACAAGTAAATGTTAAAATATTCATTTAAATATAATTTTGGTATGTTAGTGATTATGTCAATAAATATTTTCATTGCAGTCAGTTAAAAGTCACAAACACGGCGAAAGGTTCAATCCATAGTCAAACTTCAAACGGGTGGTCTTAAGGAATTATGGGTAGAAGTACCATACAAGTCCCTGTACTATGTCTTGAATTGCATTTTAGTATCTCTATTGAAAAACATATACAAAGTAGTCCTTATACATTAAAAGTAGTCCTTATCACAAACAAATTGATTTACATGCGATATTGATTTCTTTTATGGTTCATGATATTATATTTGTTGTTTACAATTTCATTATTATATATGCTTTTAAGGGATATAGTATTGAGTTTACGGGACATGACTTGAGTCATAAAAATCCTTTGAAGTGTTAACCACCATACTTTTATTGGCTTATTATGTGGATATATTTCTCTTCTTAAAAAACACTAAAACAAATTGTCATGGCCACATTTACTCGACGATAAAAATCTGTCAATAAATTTAGGGTTGGTGACGAATTTCAATTTGTCAGTGAGTGTAAAACTTATAGCGACACATTTTGTCCATCATTATACATGTGATGTATATTTAAACTTTTATTTGACAGTCATTAAATATGTGTTATGTAAAAAATTGAAAAAAAACTACTATTTGAAGAAAACACATTATTATTTAAAATTTAAATTAATAATTGGAATTAATATTATGAATGAATTATAATTTTTAATTGATATTATAATATTAAATTTTTTCAATAGGATCCTATAACGACAGTTTATACTGTCACTACTGTAAACTAAAAGCCGTCAGTATGTAGTATTCATACCCTCTACTGACAGTCTGCAGTTTGATTAACTGATGCTATACAATCTAACTGTTATAGACGGTATCATTATTGACAGTTGTTATAACTTCACCTACTGTTGTTGGTTACACAATTTAGTCTATTTCAACCTTAGGTTTTTCTATAGATGGAATTGTACGTTAATTTTGCGAAAAATTATTAGATAGATATGATTTATTACGTTATTCGTGATTTTAATTAATAATATTTTATATCTCATTTTTTTAAAGTGATTTTTCATATTTTTTCACGTGTAAATAAAAGAGTTGACAGTTATTTATAAGTTATTTTAAAATTGATAGATGTGATTCACTGACATCATGAGTGACGTGGTGAATCAAAATTATGAAATAATTTATCTAATTTTACATATAGTGACACTTCTTACATCGGAATAACTGATTTTTGTCCCAAAAATTTCACCAATATGTTTCTAGTTATGTCTCATTGTGATTTTGTCTTGAAAAAAAATTAAAAATTCTATTGGTAATATTTAGCACGTAGCACGTTTTTATTTTCCCTATATTCAATTTTGTTGAATTTAAGAAAAGAAACTTCTAATGTCATGGGAAAAACATTGTCTTTGGTTCTTATGCTAATTTCTTTAATAAAAATTAATTTGAATGGTTTTAATTTAAGAAGAAGAAAAAAAATCAATTTTATAAAATAATTCAAATGTTGAAATCATGGCAAGAACAATGTGAATTGATATTTAAGTTATTTTTTCTTGAAAAATGAATTTAAGATGCATTAATTAGAGTTTAATTAAACAAAGCTTGGTTAATAACGCGGAAACTTATTGGCCTTGCTTGAGCCAGTGGACATTTATGTATTATTCAGATCAATTTGGTATAACTTTTGAAAAACGACTTTTAAAATGTGTTATAGAAACAAACTTTTAAAAATATTGTACAAAAGTTTAATTTAAAATTTATTTGTTTGGTGTTACTGTTAAAAATTGAGTTTGAAAAGATAAAATATCCATTATAGACATTATGTTGTAAATTAAAAATATAGCATTTAAATTTTATTTACACTTATATATATGAATCATATCAATTTAAACTATAATAAATTCAATAAAAATTATTATTATTTATGAATTATATCACCCTAAACTATAACAAAAATATAAAAAATAAAAATAAAAAATATATTTTTTATATATACTCACTATTAATATGTTAATATATAAATTATAAATTATTTTTATTTTTATATAATTTAAATAAATTACTAAAAATAATAAATTATTTTTAAGGATTTTAATGTTAAATTATTAAAATAAAATGTAAATATATAATTGAGTGGAACTCATGTATTAGTAAGGGTAAAATTATAATTTGCTTTCAAACGAGAAGTTGAAAATAAAAAACTAGAAATCCTAGTTTTTGTGGTTGGTTTAAAACCATCGTTTTCACCATAATCTTTTTTTCCTTTTTTTACACATTTGACATTAATTTTATAGTCAAAAAGAGTTTTTTTTTTACTAAAAGTGGTTTTTAGAAAACTTTACTAAATGAACCTTCGAATGTTATTAAATACAATAATTATTTAATATATTGAAAGTAAAACTTGTTACATCATGAATTGGATTATTTTTTTACACCCATAGTTAATATTTTAATAAATGATCATAAATTGTATTAAGTTATCACACGTTTAAAGTTAATAAATTGTATTTTAAAGATCCAACTCCCGAACACTCCATCTAAAAAAAATCTAATTCAATGCAAGGTGAAAAAACTCCCAATCTCCCACCAAACAGTAAATATTGTCGTTTTGTCATTCAAACATCAAGAGAATCGAGTGAGGCCAATCTGGATACGTCGAGCAAATGGGATCGATATGGTCAGAGAATCAGTCGAATGGAAATCAATAATCTTGTGGTTCGGAATACACTTTTAAATTTGGGGTGGATTAAATTTAAAAATTAATATTATTAAAAATAGGTAAAATTATAATTTTTGTCATTGTAGTAGACTCAATTTATCATTTTCGCTCCCATCGTATTTTCGCATAAATTTAGCCATCGAAATTGCTCAATTGCATTATTCTATATCTTTCCCTTAATTTAAAACCCTAAATTCTAAACTCTAACTTAAAGTTTAAGATTAGGGTTTTAAGTTAGAAAAAGGATATAAAATGATACAATTAAGCAACTTTAAGAGCTAAATTGATACGAAAATAAAATAGGGGCGAAAATGATAAATTAGAGTGAAATTAATAAATTTAGTCTACTACATAAACAAATTTGACTCTTAAGCCTTAAAAACAATATTTCATGAATCCTGACTGTTCAATTTACACAAAAAATAAGAAAACAATGATATATATTTTAATTTCAAATTCAATTTAAGAAAATACCATAATATTCTAATGAAAAGGTTGAACAATAAGTTTGGATTCTGTGGATATGGAGGTGATGAAAACAGATAACAAGTTGCGTATAATAAATTGGGAACAGCTGTGATTTTAACAGGTCGGGTTCGGGTGAAGATTGGACAAACATGTGTGAGTTATCAAATATACCCTGAGCTGCAGTTTCCACCTGCAATTATTTACTAATATCATTATCATGCTTATGTGTTAATAAAAAAACACACAAAAAAAAGTCATACGTTGGTCCCTCTCCCTCTAAAAAAACAACTTGTTTTAGTTAGAGCTTACTTTATATATACTAATTATCAGCATTATACATGTGTCGAAATAATAGTATTCAAGGTTCTGAATGTATTTAAAAAATATTAATTGTTTTTATGATGAAAATATTATAGAAAGCTTCAAATTGCAAGATAAACTAAAAAAATTACGGAGCCAAGTTGAAATATGAGTTCGTTTTCCTTTGAAAGAGCAAGCCAGCGTGGTACAATTTTATTATCAGCTTAACTACTACACTTACCACATAGGCATTTATGGCTTAAGTACTAATTTTATATTGTTAAACCAATTATTACTTTAATTGTATTTTTTTACTAAACGTGTCCGTGTTGTTTAAAATTTAATATAATTATGGCGCATGCACTTTAAATTATATGTAATTATTGTCCTTTAAGTAATTATATCTTCTCTCAACTTCCATATAAAGAAAATATCTTCTGTGAAATGCTACATTGCAAGGGTCTGTCAAAGAGTACTTCAAGGACCATCTTCTCTTCTATGAGATGTCGTATTTTTAAGGGAAACTTTAATAAGTACGATTTAAATGATTTTAGTGATAAAGTGATTTATTGTTATTTTTTAAAATTTTGGATTCGAATATTATATATGTAGATATATAAATATTTATTATCAAAAGATTGAAAATATATAAACTGATAATATTTTATTTTCACCTAAATTTATATAAAAAAAGGCTATATTTTGATATTTTAAAATGCACGAACAATTCCCATAACTGATGGGTATGAGGCTATGAGCACAGAGGTCACTTGCGTGTTCTTCAAGTTGCCAATTTAACTATTTTTGGTTATGTTTGCTTTCATTGGAATCCATAATGAGGTAATCGAATTCGACACCCACATGCTAGGTTACGCTTCTTCTTTATTGGTGAAACCATTTTCAAGTCCTTCTAACATACTATAAATTGCACCTTAGTCTTTATATTTCTA